TATAGGGGTTTAGGGTTCAGGGTTTTGGGTTTAAGGGTTTAGGGTTTAGGATTTCCGGTTTAGGGTTTAGGGTTTTGGGTTTGAGGGTTTAGGGTTTAGGGCTTAGGGTTTTGGGTTTAAGGGTTTCGGGGCTTAGGGTTTCGGGGCTTAGGGTTTTGGGTTTAAGGGTTTCGGGGTTTCTGGGTTTAGGGTTTAGGGTCTAGGGTTTTGGGTTTGAGGGTTTACAGGGGTTTAGGGTTTAGGGTCTAGGGTTTTGGGTTTGAGGATTTATAGGGGTTTAGGGTTTAGGGCTCTAGAGATTTTAGAGTTTTAGGGTTCATAAGTTTGGGGATTCGACAAAAAAAGCTATTCAATTTTGGGGTTTCGGGATTCTACAAGAATATTTCACCTTTGGGGTTGAGGGTTTAGGGATTCTACGAGAGTCATTTAAGATCTCGGGTTTAGGGATTCTACAAGAATTACTTCGCGCTTTAAGGGTTTAGCGTGGCTCGAACTCACCCTCCGTCGGCAGATCCTTGCCGGCATCATCTTTGTGATCGTCCAAGGGCTATATGCGTCACTGCAAATTATCCATAGCCTCCATTGTAGTTCCTTTTGGGGGTTACTTTCTGGGATACGAAAAAACCCTAAACCCAAATCCCTAAACCCTAAACCCTAAACCCTTTTGGGGATTACTTTCTGGGCTACGAAATATAAACTACAAAAAGGGACCACATTGGAGCCTCTTGGGCTTGTTCAAGGCTTCATAGCTCTATGTCGCGGGATCGCGGATTTTGGGCCCCCATTGGTAACAGGGTTTAGGGTTTAGGGTTTAGGGATTTTGGGCGGGTTTAGGAGTTTTAGGCTCTTGGAGTTTGCGGAGTAGGAGTGCTCGGGTTGAGGGATTTCGGCATCAAAACGGTTTAGGGTTTAGGGTTTAGCGTTTTGGGTTTTGGGTTCAGGGTATAACCCGAATTAAAATCCTACGAGTATTCTAGTTTAGGGCTTCAGAGCCATGGGGGTTGAGCAACCGTAAACCCTACCTGGACCCTAAAGAACCTACCCTCTTAGGAATCCTCATTATAGTTTCCTTGTTTAGAAGTCCTTAAGCAGGTGGGCTATTCGGGGTTAAGGTAAACAGGTAAACCCAACTCTGTGGGTTGAGGGCTTCAAGAACCGGCATGCAAGCTGTGAACTTCAGCCTCATACAGGCTCCTTTATAATTGGAGCAGGACATTGGGATATAATATACTATACCTAGAGGAAGGAACACGGAAAAAACGAAATAGCGTGTTTAAATATTCAAGCTTCTCTGTTCGCGCATGTGTTGGTATCAAGAGACAGAACTCTTCGATTTAGGGCTTCAGAGAGTTATCAATTGGGGTCTTTAAAGTTTACTGTAGGCTTTCGTGTCCAGCCCGTTCAGGGTTCGGATCGAGAGCTTCTGCTCCGTCGCCAAGCCCTTTAGGGCTCAGGGCTATAGGGCTCAGGGTTTAGGATTAGGGGGCCCGAAACCAGACTCCCCGAACTCAAAACGGTTTAGACTTCAGCGTTTATAGGGTTTAGGGATTACGGCCACCAAACAGAAACCCGAACCCCCTAAACCCAAAACCCTGAGTCGGAATGATTAGCCAGAATACCTCCCTATGGTTCCTATACACACATACTACAAGGACCCTCTTCTCATCGTCAAGGCCCCTACATTACTCAAAACTCTGCTCAAAGGTTTATGGTTTAGGGCTTAGTGTATTCAAAACCTTGTTTAGCGGTTAAGGTTTAGGGTTTAGGGTTTAGGGTTTAGGGTTTAGGGTTAACCCTAAACCCTAAACTTAACCCTAAACCCTAAACCCTAAACTGTTAAACTCCGGAAGCTCCTGCGGATGAAGATTCAAGGCCCTGGCTGGGACCGGAAAGTCCGTCGAAAAAGCGCCTGTGCAGTGGGTTTCAGGTTTGAGGGTTTGGGGCTGAAGGTGTAGGGTTTGAGGTTGAGTGTTTAGGGCTCAAGGTTGACGGTTTAGGGCTTAAGGTTTAAAGGTTTAGTGGGGGTGTGAGGGTCTTCGGGGCGTAGAGTTTAGGGTTTAGGGCTTCGGGTTTAGAGTTTAGGGTTTATAACAGTTTGGGGTTTACAGTTTAGGGTTTATAAGAGTTAAGGGTTTAGAGTTTACCTACACCCCCCAAACCCCAGGAAAAAGTAGGTCGCTTGCTAAAACCAGGTTTTTGAAAAGAGAACGCGGTTCTTCAGA